AACAGCATATTAATATGCTTAAAATATTTATCATTCCTTATGGAACACCCTGTACATGCTTATTTTTCATATATCTTAGTTCCATATCTTGTGCAAATTATTAATAAAGACACAATTAATTTTTTTAAATAGAATTGTTTCACAAAGATGCTACTTTTACGTTTTACACTGTTGCCAAATCGCAAAAAGTTTACTATTACAATTATTTAGCATCAAAAGCATGGCAATTCATTTATAATAAATTTTCTTGTCCCCAACAATATTTTATAATATAATAAATATAAATGAACAAGAATGCATCGTTCTAATGTTATGGTAGCCACACCCCAAGAATATTTCCGTATTACAGTTGCAATTCCCTTGTTTGATGATTTCACAGAACAATTATCGAGATTTACAAATCATAAAAACTCACTTTCGTCATTATATTTTTTATTGCCTACGATGTGTGTTACACACATACTAAAGGTAGAAAACTTGTCTTTATACGACCAATTTTTAGACCTGGATACCTTGTATGCAGAGTTACAGTTGTGGAAACAAAACTGAACGGGATTTCCCCAAATTGACAGACCGAAAAATCCTATTGAGTCATTATCAGCATGTAATGAATCTATGTTTCCCAATATACATATTCTTTTAAAAATTCTTGCAACATTACCTGTATCAATAGCTTCATCAGAAAGATCATTTTCAAAACTGAGACGTTTAAAAGATTAATTATTTGAGCAATCATAGGCGCCGAATCCCCTCGAGCTCTGGGTGCGCAGGCACCCAGAGCAGTTTTAAACAGGGTGCGGAGCACCCATAGCAGAGCGAGGACAAAAAGTGTCAATAAGTGAAATGAAGAAGCTGCCGTGGCTATGGTTGGTATAGCGAAAGATGCCTCAATAAAATATTATCGTTCTGAGCTGTATTTTTTGTGATAAAAAAGTCGCCGTCGTAGACAACGCGTTGAACTTGGATATAAGGGTTTATTATTCTTGGTGTATAAAACCCTGTGACGTCAAAAAAGAAAGATTAATAATGGTCTACAATTATCAAGACAATATCTTTGTATATATGCCATTGAGCAAATGCTTGAGGGGAAAAGGGAGAACATTTGAAAGTTGCTCCCGATCAAGCACCGTTAGAAAAGAACGTTCATTTAGAGCTCTCTCTAGTATTGCTGGTGAGAAACCAGGTCATTTACTAAAAAATATGATATGTTATTTTGAAGGTATTTTTAACTAGATAATATTGAGTATATATGACAGTTGGCGATAACATCTGGTATTAGCAGACGTAGCATTCAGAAGATATTGAAAGAACACAAGTTTCATCCCCACAAAATACATCTGGTAAAAGAACTTAACGATGACGATTTTGACAGGCGATTACAATTTTGTGAAATTATGACTGAACTGGCATTAATTGATCAGCAATTTCTTTTCAACGTGTGTTATTCAGACAATGCACTTTTTTCCTAAATGGTACGGTAAATCGTCACAACTGTTGTTATTGGTCCGATTCAAATCCCAGAATATTTCATGAAGTGCATACGCAACATCCGGAAAAACTGAATGTTTGGGCTGGCATTTTTGGTAACCGTATAATGGGCTCCTTTATTATTAGAAAACGCCATTTATCCAGCATTACTAGAGTTGATTGAGAATGACGATCAGTACATAGCAAACAACTTAATATTCCAGCATGAAGGTGCGCCACTGTTCGTCAGTATTTGGATCAAACGTTTCCAAGATCGGAAGAAGAGAAAGTATTGAGTGGCTCCCACAGTCTCCGGATCTAAGCCCGTTGGATTTTTATGGGGCCACTTAAGAACTAAAATTTATGCCACCCAGCCAACATCACTAAAAAATCTGCGACAACGGATAATTGATGAATGTCATCAAATCACCCCACAGATGCTTCAAAATGTCCGAGAGCATTTTGAACAAAACCTTTATTATTGTATGGAGGCCCAGGGTCAGCATTTCTAGCATTTACTCGAGTAACTGGTAGGCTTTACAGAAAATAAAAATCGTTAAAAGATCATGGCTAGGAAGACAGAAGCGATTTAAAACTCAGAGGTTATAATCTATGTAAAAATACCTTCAAAATACCAATGGTGGCTGCACCGAGCATATAGGATTGCTAGAGATCCCGTTTTAGGTGGGAGCCTCCAGAGCAATTGGACAGTTTAGAATACCTTTTTTTTTTTTCAAGAAAATTTTCATGAGATCAACTTTAAAATAGCTTCTTAAAAAACCGGTGGAGCTTTTAAGTGAGGTGTGGAGGGTGGGGGGGGGGAGGATAGCCCCCATTTTCCGCATAGAAGCCGGGCACCCAAAACAATTTTTGAATTCCGGCTCCTATGTGCGCAATTCAACTGGCCAAAGTCGACTAACAGGTCTTGCCCTTTTAAGCGTGCATATGAACATTAAAGTTCATACGAAAGAAGTATTGGATCGCTTTACAGGAAAACATAGAAATATTGAGCTATTATAATTATTTTTAAAATTTGATGTCGAATATGTTTATGTTAAATCTGTTTTAATTTTCATTAAAAACTATTCAAAATGAAGTTCTTTTTTTAACCATTAAAAAAAATCATCTGAAACTGGTCCAAACCCTCCAAATTTTTTGATCAGAATTGTCATAACGGGTACCGTATAGAAATATTATCCATTGCACTATAAATACGTGAACTTATACATATTTTTGATAATACCTCTCGATTTTACCAACAAGGGCCAGTATTAATCAAATTCTCTAAAATTTATTGTTACGAGTTGGACAGTATAATTAACCATTTAAATAGTGGTTTCAGTATTCGATTTATTTTAATGAAATGGACATGCTAGCGAAATCTACGAGAATATGACACTTTTAGCTATCAGTAATACTTTTTAAAACTGAGGGCGCTGGCCAGGAAAGAGTGCCATTACTGATTCCCATGTACTGATGTTCCTAGTTCTGAAACTTTCTTATTACTAAAATATTAATTTAATATTTTCCTGGAAAATAAACGAAAAATAAATTTTCTTCTCCTTCGGAAAATCGGCATTCAAACAATGGAAATAAAAACTTGTGTGCCACTATTTTGTATATAGTTATGTGTAGGTAGGTAATACGTAATGATTCTCACATGTGCATACTTATTATCTTACAGGAAATATAAGGTATATCTTCTATTATACCGTGCCGTTGGTATTACGTATTATTCTTTTACAAACAGTTCTAAGTAGGGCGTAATTAGACGTTGCAAAATGCCTGCTTGAATATAAAATATTGTTCATTCATTGGCTAATAACAGGACATGATTTAAAATTTCATTATGAATATCATTGTCACACCGGAATTATTAATTTTGTTCAAGCAAAAATGTTATAAATACTCTAGTTTGCAAGGTTACATCATTACAAAGACATTACACTTTCTTATTTCATAAACTAGGTTTAATAAGTATAGGGAAAATCATTTCAATTCTTGTTTTATCTACTATATATATAGATTTTTCTTTCATTTTGATTTTTTATCCTTGAAAGACAAAATCAGATTAAAAATAAAAATTCTTTACATTATTTAAATAGGTACAACCTGACTGTCAAAAATGGTAAAAAATAGTGTGAATATGTTTAGTTTTAAAAATACTTCTATATTTTTTTATTATTAATTTTGATTAGTTTTTAATTAATTCACGGTTGGCTACATGGGTAGCGACAAGGGGAGCAAAGGGGACGGTTGGTATAAAGAATAATAATAATATACTATCTTTATTATTTAAGTTTTTTTAGTCACCAACTTTGACCAATTTTAAAAATTAATTAAGAGCTCAAATTTGGATATTATATTTAAAATAGAACTATTAAGGGATTCATGTATTGAAATTTAAAAATACGAGAATCGCTAAATCATATTACCTAATTTATTTTCCCAAAATTTGAATTTTAACCAAAATACTTTTTGAGATTTCTTTGTCCGAAAATTACAAACGGTGTTGTAATTTTATATTTGCTTATATTTACCTATATTTTTTTATATTATTTGCTTATATTTGCTTACATTTACTTATATTTGCTTATATTATTAGCTTATATTTGCGTATATTTGCGTATATTTACGTATATTTGCTTATATTTGCTCATATTTTCTTATGTTTGCTTATATTTGCTTATATTTGCTTATATTTGCTTATATTTGCTCATATTTGCTTATATTTGCTTATATTTGCTTATATTTGCTTATATTTGCTTATATTTGCTTATATTTGCTTATATTTGCTTATATTTGCTTATATTTGCTTATATTTGCTTATATTTGCTTATATTTGCTTATATTTGCTTATATTTGCTTATATTTGCTTATATTTGCTTATATTTGCTTATATTTGCTTATATTTGCTTATATTTGCTTATATTTGCTTATATTTGCTTATATTTGCTTATATTTGCTTATATTTGCTTATATTTGCTTATATTTGCTTATATTTGCTTATATTTGCTTATATTTGCTTATATTTGCTTATATTTGCTTATATTTGCTTATATTTGCTTATATTTGCTTATATTTGCTTATATTTGCTTATATTTGCTTATATTTGCTTATATTTGCTTATATTTGCTTATATTTGCTTGTTTTTTTTATATATTTGCTTATATTTACTTATATTTGATTATATTTCCCTATATTTGCTTATAGTTGCGTATATTTGCCTTATGATTTTTTCATCCTGGAGATATTACAAAAATGAAATATTGTCACAAAAATATATTTAAATAAAAAAATTTACCTCAAAGACCACGTTATAACTTTTACTCTTTATTAGTAAACACAAAATTGTATCCTTCGCCACTGGAAAAAATAATGACGGCGCCCATACTTCGTTATCTACGATTTCGTTTCATCGATATCTTTAAAATGCAATTTAAAAACAGAAAGTATCGAATTGACATTTCTGTCTTTTACGTTTTAAACTCATTGTTAATCGTAACCAACAATTAAAACAAAAAAAAAACAAATTTTTACAAAAAATATAACAGGTTTTATTATTTAAGAACAGGTAACTTAAGAGGAAAAATATAAATAGTGTTTTTACAGATTGATAGGTACTTGCAAAAGGCACACACAGTGTGAATCACTACGAAATTTTCTATTTGTGACCGTAACTTTCGTAACCTCCATCATAGCCTCCATCGTAACCTCCACCGTAACCTCCATCGTAACCTCCTTCATAACCTCCATCGTGATGACCTTGGTGAGAATGTACTGGTACAGCAACTGGCACTTTAACTGCATACGGTACTGGTCTATCGACTGGCACAGGTACTGGCTTTTCTACAGCTACAGGGTACGGCCTGTCTACTGGAACTTTGACAGGATAAGGTACCGGTCTTTCAACAGGGTATGGTACTGCTTTTTCTACTGGGTAAGGTGCTGGATACGGTACTTTAACGGGTACAGGGTAAGGCCTGTCTACAGGAACTCCTACAGGTCTATCAACAAGTACTTTTACTGGGTAAGGTACTGGTTTTTCAACTGGTACTGGAACATTCTTGATTACGTGTACTGGGTAAGGTTGAGGAACGTGAACTGGGTAAGGTCTGTCGACTGGTACTTTCACTGGATATGGTACTTGTTTGTATACTGGGTAAGGTTGTGGGACATGTACTGGTACTTTCACTGGGTAAGGTACGCGTTTCTCGACTGGATAGGGCTGAGGAACTGGTACTTTCACTGGATAAGGAATGTGTTTTTCTACTGGGTAAGGTTGTGGTACGAGTACTTTAACTGGGTAAGGTCTGTCTACATGTACCTTGTAAGGTACGTGGACGATCTTTTCAACTGGGTAGGGTTGTGGTACGTGTACAGCTACTTTAACTGGTACTTTTACTGGGTATGGTACTGGTTTTTCTACTGCGTAAGGTTGTGGTACCAATACTTTAACTGGGTAAGGAACGTGTTTAGTAACTGGATATGGGATGTGTTTTTCTACCGGATATGGCACAGGTACTCCTTTTACTAAAGTAATAGTTCGTTCTACAGATGTGGTATGTCCTAAATCAAGGGCGCCAAACCCTATAGAGTATCCTCCATCAATTCCATATCCCCCTTGACCTACGTGGTAGCCGTTATCGAAATCGCCACCATAACCGTATCCTAAACTGAGGAGGCCACGTTTTGTTTGTTTCTTATCATCAGCTGGAGCTGTTTTCTTCTCCTTGGCCTCGGCATTTATTGCCACTGCAGCAAGGACTAAGATTGACAGTGTTATCTATAACAAGAAAAATATACCAAATATTAGTATACGATTTTTAGTACAAAAGCACATCAATGGCGTTATTCTTTCGTCATAGCACTACCAACTAATTAAAATGTTCCTAACTAAGCTTCAGAAAGATATCACAAATATTTATAAACATTCATGAACGTAGGCACGTTACTAAAAAAATTTAAATTGTTATCGTAATTAATTAGATAATTTTCAAAATATTTAAATTATGTAACGTCTTATTCTCGATAACATAAAATTTATAAAAATATTATATGTTTATAAAGTTTTATTTTGCATGTCTATTTGAGATATGTTTATAACTTTTTTGTTCGGATGTTTATTATTCACAAAGCAATTCAATATTTTCATGTTTCCCATTAGTTATATACATTAAAAATTAATTGGTCTTAGTAAAATACCCAAAAAAATATAACCTTGGTGTCTGGTTAAATGGCAATTGGCATATGCAAAAAAAAATTAAACATAACCTTACATTTTCGAAACTTCCTACATTTCAAGACTATTTTAACGATACGGCAACACTGTATGGCTGCTTAAATAGGGGTATATTCTGTAACAATTCCTTTATATTTAACGGCCTTTAAAAATATTTTCTTCTTTACTTCTATCATTATTTAAACGGATCTTTAAAATACATTAGAGGACTATCTTAAAGAAATCTGTTTAAATAATGACAGAATTAAATTAACGAATACGAACATATTTTTAAAGGCCGCCAATATTTTTAAAGGCCTCTAAATATAAAGGAATTGTTACAGAATAGACCCCATAATCGATTAATTGCATTTAAAACCTATATCTGACGTTTTTTTCTGCTTCTTTTTATTCAAATATTTTTATAAAAATGTTTTATTGGGAAAACTCTTAACTACATTGACAATTAATAATAATGAATCTATTTAATTCAAATTGAACTACTTTCCTTTAATGGTTATACATTTTTTTGACTAACGCCACCAACCTTGTACTCAAAATTAAATAGTTTAAGTAATAATAAACGTTTGCACTGCCTTAACCGTGATTTTTATGTAATAATATTCATATTAGCACCTAATAATTATTTCATTAAAAAACTAGTTTTACATGCGTGTGATTATGTCTGACCTATTTGAAGTAAATAAAAATATATTATTGATTTGATGCAGATAATTTATTCAATATAAATACTAAATTATTTATTAAGAATAGGTTTACACAGCAAAAACTGCTTGGATACTCTATATGAAAGATAGTATCATAAAAACGAAACCTAATAAAATGATGTATTTTGTACTCTATGTCTAAAATAATTTAAAAATATTTATTTCAGATAAATATGTCATTTTCTTTTTAACAGATTTTAAGAATTTAACTTTACTGCTTTAAATAACAATGTTTATAAACTGCAATGTATTTCTTACTGCGCAATTTTATGCACTTAAAGATCCTTGTTACCCTTACCAATTTATTTCTTTTTATATTTACATTAAAAGATTTCATTCAGATTCATTGTAAATGTAAAATAAGGATAATTTGTGCACGACTTTTGACGAACTCCAGAATGGACCTTGTTTTTGAATTTGATATTAAGATCAAAAAAGGTAAACGATCCAACTAAACACACGTACAGTGTAAAGGGACAAAATATTTTTACTTTGCTTAGAAGGTAGAGGGTCCAAATGTTTTTAAATGGCAAATATTTTTATATAAGTTGCTTAAGGAATTATAAGATCAAATATTTTCACATGGCCAGGCTTAAGGTATAAATAGGCAGGCGTGACACAACATAGACCTGACATAAATCTTAAATTGACATTCAATCGTATCTAATAAAGCTAAGACGTGTAACAAATTATATTTTGTAGGGCCATAATAAAACTACAGAACTTTACAAATATTTGTAGATGGGCAGGTGCAAGGGGCAAAGGGACTTGATTTCTTTTATTTCGGGATATTTAAAAAACAAAATATACCACAAATATTTTACTTATTCTTTTTGAAACATATCAATTTTTATTTATGTTAAAAGTTAAAACTCTACGCACCTGTATGAGAAAGTTTTAAAGATATTTTAGTATGTATTTAATTTTTAATGACTGTTTTCTAATTTATTGGAAATTGTAATTTATATTTTGTCATTCTGATAATATTGTAAAATACCTATATTTAAATATTATTCAATTTATTTTTTAGTAAAACACAAATTAAATAAAAAATATGCACATTAAAAATTATTTTTTTATCAGTTGAAGTTAAACTTTTCTTGTTTACTTTAATCTTATTTAATTTATTTGAAAAGTGAGTTTTCCTATTTTATATGAACAATATTTGTGTATTTATTTATAATAAATCAGTAAATTTGTAAATTTTTAAGAAAAATAAAATTTTGGAACACAAAAATATTGAAACCGATTTGGAAATTACCATGTAAACGTATCTAATATTTTGTCTCGTTTATCTCAGCACGAACGAAAGTATGCCATACACGTTAGGAATAAATATATACATATAAATAAACCAGTTACATTATACCAACATTAGAGAGTTATATAATCATCAGAAGAGATATTTGTTGTTAATACTGACCTAGGGAAACATTAGAAATTTTAATACTTGATCACGATATGTGACCTTAGAATTGAAAGGCTTTTTTTAAATTTAATTCGAGTATAAAGTTTTTATTTTGTATTGATTGTTGATTGAAATTGATAAATACATTAGAGAAGAGTTGAAAAATCAGAATCAAGGGCGGCTACAGCCGAATTATCGTAGGATGCTATTCCCTTTTTAGCATATATTTTTTTTAAATTTTAATCTTGACCATGGCCCCCATACCCGCCTGAAGCCTCCCTTGATTAGAATCATATTATTTAATTTAAATGATTATTAAAAAAATGTTTAGTGTCTTAAAAAAATATTAATTTCAAAATGAAAGAAAAAAACCAATATTAATTAATCCATTTTTTATAAATGTCGAGTTTTAATAAAATTATGTTCAGCATTATATTGACCAATTAATTTAATTTTCTAATTTCAAAAACAAATTTTTCTTATTAACATTATTTAACAATTCAAATCTACTGTATAATAAATTATACTGATTAAAAAGTAATAAAAAAAATTTGGAGCAAAATTTTTAGAGCAATAAAAAAAATTAAAAAACCTTTACGATAATATTTTTTCAATAGAAAAAGATCTCGACTTGAACTTGAAGATATTGTCACATAGATAATATTTATTATTATAATATAATAACGTTATTTAATATTCAGAAAAATAAGCATTAAGTGCAGTTTTATTTGCATATAATAATTTGCATTTAATTAAATAGAGGTACCGATAAGAGTTTGAGATTAAATAATTATTATAAAATAAAAACTAATTAAAAAATATTTAACCACTTTATATGCAAATAAATATTTTGGCACTTAACACTTAATTATTCAAAAAAAAAAACCGTCACACACTAAAATCACTTAAAAATAATCCTTAGTAGTCACTATTTCACAAAAGAAAAAAAAACCACACCTCACGATGCTTTTACCACTCACCAATGGTCTCATAGCAATTCTCTGATTGTGTCTTTGATGCAAAAAGCAAAGAACTGGATGCCTTTTTGATTTCATCAATGACTTTTATACCGCTTAGGTTGGCCAGCCACTTCTTGTGCAAAGTACAGATGAGGATGGCCCCCTCTTGGCTCCTGTTCCCCCGCGCCGATTGTAAAAAATGGTTTGAATGTCGATTGTGCGGTATTGGGAAAGTACTTTTTTTTCGGAAGGTTGTGATCTATTATATGTTATTAGAATAGAATATTTGTGTTAGGTGATTAAAACTGATGATTTATTTAAGTTCGAGATATAAATTGGAGACTTCGGGGACATTCTTCAGGTAAATATTGCTCAAAAATGGAATATACAAGGTGTCTCCAAAATGTTTGGACATAGCTTAACCTGTAGGAATAAGATGACGAAGAAATAAACACAAAGTCTATCTATCAAACACTGAAATTTTTATTTGATTTTTGTTTCGAACTTTCAGTCAACAAAATATAAGTCGCGCTATCAATAACCCTTAAACAGGCACTGGGAAACTATATTCCCACTTAAAATATAGGACACACAATTCACACATATATTTATTTCTAAACTAACAAAAAATATTAATATTTCTTCTACATTTATTTTGTATGTAAATATTTTACTAAAATAAGTGTTTGTATAACATTACTTTCTTGTACGTGTTTCAAGTGGGCTTGATTAAAGATTAAAGTTGGAAAATTGAGGTTTTCACATAAGGTACCTACAATAAATTAAATAAAAACAGCTTATACCGGAAGTAGATGTCAACTTTCTTATTTTAGATGAATTTTTATAGAACATAAAATTTTAGTGTATAGTAAAATTTTGTAATTTATGAAAAAAAGTAGGTATTTTCGAAAACAAAAGAGCGTTGTAGGTATCAACAACGAACAACTAGTAATTTTGTTTGCAAAAATCGAATTGCAGACATTTACGGTGTCATCTACGTAGTTGTCAAATTATTATGATACTATGTGAGACTATTGCTACAAAGATCGTTTACGGTCATAATTCAGTATTGACTAAACATAAGGCTTTAAAGCGCACAAAAGACTTTCAAAATTACATTAGGGAAGTATTTGGATTCTTATACAGGGTGTCGCAGAATCATATAAAACACATATAATAACATGATACTAATTTTTTTCCTGTGGCCCCTTTTTCCGGAGGTATTGTCCTCATAATTAATAGACACCCCTGAAAATATATTTTGTAAATAATTTTCTGTCCTTGGTATAATTGAATTATTTTTAAATACGATGGAATCTAGAGAATTCTCCGTAAAATAGATCATTTTAAACACGTTTGCCTTTAGTTTGCGAGAGACAGACTAGCTTTAACATAATAATGCTAATATTTTTTACACCCTGTATGATAAAGACATAACAATAATATTTTTGGACAGCATGAACCTTAAATAAAAAAAGGTACTCCTGATTAATATCGATAAAATGACTTGTTATCGTTTAAAATGGTTTTTTGCATTTGTTGTCAGTGATAAAAAATCTTTTTGTTGCTTGTCGGTTTATGACAGTTTTTGACGGTGTATGTTGGTTCAATATGAACACCTAATCGTATGCATTCCTTAGATCTAAGAATGATAGATTGTTGAACCCTTCACAATATCCCAACATTATTCCTAATTTCGCGACAGTGGAGGATTTAGGATTCGTTCTTGGGGGATGGGGAGAGAGGATGGCGCTGCAAAAATTTGTATTTACCTGATTTTCAGAACAAATTATTATTGCTGAACAAATTATTTTTCGGCAACTTATTATTGTACAAATTATTTTTGGACAAATTGTTTTTGGACAAATAATTATTGGATCATTTACTTAAAAAATATTTAGTATTTTTGCTATTTAAAAGACAAATTAATGTTTATTTAAAATGACAAAATCAAGTCATCTCTGTTTAGTTGAAGAAGGTTATTCTACTCCTCGAATCGTATGAGTATCGTTTCTAATAAGTCTATCTACACCCACATGGATATTAGCTTATCTATAAACAGACTACAAAATGAAAAAGTATGCTATTGCGTTCAACTGAACGAATATATTTCATATCCATTCTAGGTACTGAAAATATTGCAAAAATAAAATCCACCAATCCCAGTTCATATTTTGGTCACCCGACTACTATTATTTTTAAAATTTTAAATAAGTGACAATTCTGTCAAACATTAAAATGAGTTATTTTTGTGTGAAATCGAAATAATAGCATTTTTATTTCGTCTATAATTATAAATAATTCGTTAATTTTAATAAAATTATATGAAAATAATTTAATTACGAGTATTAAAATCAGATTCACAGGCTTGGCTTGTTTTTAAAAAGCTTAGCTTTAGCTAGGCTTGAAATTAAGCCAAGCCTTTAAAAATACCAAAGCCAAACTTAACATTTTTTTTTTCAAGCTTTCAAGCTTTTTCAAGCCAAGATTTCAAGCTTTTTCAAGCTTTTGAAGGAATTATTTACATTAACTGTTTATAATAATCTACAACATTTATTTAAGACTTAGTTGCCCAATTTTTCATTTTAATTATTGTTAATTTTCTTGTACACAAAGTACATACTGCTGTTGTGTTCTGTTCTTGATTAATTAAAAAAAATAGAGACCTTTATATTTTTAATTGTTTTTCGGGACTTAATTCGAATATGTTCTTCGCGAGGACTGCTAGAAGAGAATCCTTCCGCTACCTCTACCACATATTTAGATCCGCTGTCTTGAAAGGGTTCCTCGATATCTGATATATTAATGGCGCTCATATTTGTAAATACTTGCTTCAAAAGGCTAGCAGTGACTAAATTGAACGTTAAAACAAAGGGCGACAAAAGAACGGTTAGTAGACCTAACACGTGATCGGCAAGGTGGGGGAAAAAGCTTGAAAGCTTGATAAAGCTTGGTAAAGCTTGAAAAAGCTTGGTAAACAAGCCAAGCCTGGACTTATAAAAATCAAGCCAAACCAAGGTTTTTGTTTTAAAAAAAGCTTAATTTTGAAGCCAAGCCAAGCCAAGTTTTTTGTTTTCAAGCCAAGCTACTTGGCTTGGTGAAACACTGATTAAAACTAAAATCCTAAATGTGACGGTGGACGTAAGGACACGCGAGAGGGGACTAATTAAATAAAATCGTTTTTTATATATTTATTTTATTTTATAAATTAGTAAAAGTCATAAATTATTTTAACTTAATAACCTAAAATAATTTGTTAAATTTGTAGATTTTCGTTAGTGGGTCGTAAAAAAAATATACTGTAAAACTCGAGTCGATTGTCCATATTTACTCTTGTTGCACAAACTACTATTTCTCTATTGTCAAGCAGATTGGCATAGAATAATTTTTTAAATATCGCCACCAATAGAAATCTAAGGGATTTAGGTCAGGTGATCGAGGTAGCTAAGGCACTGGTCCCTCCCTTCCTATCTATCGATGTCTGAAATTCCTATTTAAATATTCTCGATCTACTGACTAAAATGTGGTGGGGCTCCATCACACATGAACTACATATTACGTTGAATTGCCAAAGGTAAATCTTCTATAAGTTCTTGAAAATTGTTTTAAAGAAATTCCAAATAAAGTTCTCCAATTATTCTTCTTGGCAATACAAATGGCCCAATTAAATGTTGCCCGATGATTCCGGCCTACACCTTGACAGGTTCAAATTAATACTGATGATGCGCTACAATAAAAACACGCGGATTGTTTTCTGTTCACATGATGCCTTGTTTATAAAATCCAACTTCGTCTCTAAACAGAAATAAACCCAAAAATTTGCATCGTTTCTTTGCCGATCCAAAACCCAGTTAAAATATTCGTTCATTCGTGGAAAGTCTTCGGGAAGAAGCGCATGGACTTTCTGAAGGTGAAAGAATACAATTGTTGCTCTTTAAGGATTCTAGAGACAGTCGATTTTGGACAATGGGTAGCCAATTTTCGGACGCTTGTAGAAGGATCATTTGAATTCAACAATTGTGACTGGCTTTGCCAAACTTTCATAAAATTGAAGACCTTGTTGCAAAAATTGGCCAAGTCCACTTTTGGGTTAAATTACGTTTTTTCATTGGAAACATAATTTAAAGCATCCCCATCATACCTATTATTTAAATATCAAAGCCGTTCTAACTTCATTGAATGTGGCACAAACGTTTCACTTCCAATTTTCACTAAATTTTTAATAAATTTTCCACCACTAAGCTTGCCACTAATTTATCGCTACCTACGACAAATGAAAAACAGGTGAAATATGTAAAGCTCTTAGTTAAGAAATATGTATCAAAATCATACCAAGGTTAGTACAATAGCATATTCGCGAGTAGTGGCAGTAGAAGCTCGAGAGGAACCGTTTACGAATCAGACTCTTCGTTTATGAAGTTCTGTACTGGAATATTACTTTATTAAATAAATAAATATTGGTTTTTTATGTTTGTGCTTTTTTATTCAATATTTTGGTTCAAAAGTCAGACAAGTCCAAATTTTCTAAAATCATTTTAGGTTTGATTTCAATTTATATACACAACCATGTAACAAATACCAATAATATCTATATTCAAACCAAAATTTGGGAAAGTTGCAAATTTATTTCCAATTATAGAAAGTATTTTTGATTTCCTACACATTTTAATTTTAGGACTTCAATTATTTCCGGTACTTTTTATTGAATCTCTATTATTCGGTAAGCGCAAGTATTTTTTAACTGTCTCTATCAAACGACGATCCACTCAAAGGTTTGCCTATCAGGATTTCTTCGATTTAGAAACAGTTTTTCATAAAGCCTTCTGACCTCTAAAATATTACAAGATACAAGCCTATACATTAAATGCATGTCAGCATATTCATTAAACGTAAAGTCAATTAGTACTTTATTAATTAATAAGATAAAGAAGAAAAAAGATCGCAAATTTCAACACACTATTGTCAATTGACACTAGCACACTGCCATAAATGATTCTTATTTAAATCGGTACATGTCAAAAAAACAATGCAACAAAAAATATTTTTTATCAGTGACAACCAATGCAAAAAAAAACATTTTCAATGAAAATAAGTCACTTTATCGATATTGATCAAGAGTTTCTTCTTTTAGTTGAAGTTTAAGCTGTCCAAAAATATTATTGTTGTGTCTTTATCATATAGGGTGTAAACATATTAGCATTATTGTATTAAAGCTAGGTCGTCCCCGGCAAACTAAATAAGCTAAACGTGTTTAAAATGACGTTTAAAAAAATTCAGGGGTGTCCATTATCGGACCATATCTACGAAAAGAGGATCCTAGGAAAAACATTTTTCCTAAGACGACTTATAAAAGTGACACCTATCGCACTATTTAGTCTTATGGGAAGTGACTTATATAACTCGCGTGTGGATAAATCTACTTTTCACCCGTGTGTGAATATGAATCTACTTTCCGCATAAGCTGTCAAATATGTCAGACGTTTAATTTCTATTTTGATTGATGTAACGTCCATTTTATCAATAAAATCAATTTGATGATTAAATTGTTAACATTTATTTTTAAATATAGATCTTAAATATTTCTTTTTAACAAATTAATAAAAGAATTTTAATAACTACGTACATTATTTTTTCTATTTGCTGGTTCATATACATGTTTAATTAGATAAGTGTATCGTAGTGTCTAACTGTTTTTAACTTGGCATTTTGCAACAGTTTCATGACACTGGTTCTATTCCCGATGAATTATCTTTTTTATTTTAATTTTTTTTTATTTAAAATCGACTTCCAGTGTAAGTGGAATTGACAGAACTGTCAAAATATTTTAGGTTGAAAGATCATAATACCTTTTTGTTGATGAAAATTATTATAAATAAATTATGATAAATACATTAAAAATGTTTACCTTCAGTTCGCTAATTAGAAAAAAATTAAAAATTAAACTGTTTATTTGTTATTATTTAAACTAGAAAAAAATTGATTTTTCATTTACCTTTAGTTATATTTTTCTAGAAAAACAGCGCTTAAACACAATGGATTTATATTCACAATTTATTAATCAACATTATTAACAAAAAAACAAAACACACGTTTAAAGATGTATTAAAACGACTTCCAGAACTTAAAATAGGTTTTCTAGAATCCAAAGTGTATACAACAACCTTCTTTGTATTTGTATGCGATATAACCTCGCAGTAGTATTTTTCCAACGTTTTTGATGTTACTTTGACGATAAGGGTTCCATTCGAATTTTCTTTGATGTTCCTGTGAGTGCTGGTCATAATTCCGTTTGAAAAAATTATTTCGTTTTCTAATTTCCAGATTCTATAATAGTTACTTTCTGAAAAGTCTTCATTGTTTTTCAAGTTAATATCACATGATAATTTGATTTCTTCGCCAATATTAACACGGAAATAAGTTGATGGTGGCAGATAGAATTCTTCTATTGTAGGTTCTGTATCTTCTTCTGTATCGTATTCATAATAAGATTGACATTTAATTAGAGAACATGTACAAAAATAACTTAAAGTTATGAAGAACAGTTGTGTTTTCTTCATGTTTAAACTATATATAAATATTAAAATTAAATAAGAATAAATGACATATCTAGAATTTTAACCTTATAGGGGTTATCAGTTGTAAACAAAATTTAAATTTAGCATCTTATTAAATTATTAAGGTTTGTAATTTTATTAGGAGAGAAAATAATTCTGGTAACTCTTTAAAATTTTTGGTAAAAAATAAAATTATTCTGAACAATTCCATCTTTAACAGCAATCCTATAACTATACTTATATGTATTTGTGGAAATTTAAGTATACATTTCTCTGTATTTAGTCATATTTTCTTTTGGTGGAAAAATAATATACAGTGTTGGGCAAAATTGGCGGAACACCCGATTTGTGGCTCAATTATGGATTGTACTGAAAATGTACTTGAATAAATTTTTTAATTAGGCTTGGGGATTTTCGTCATATGTCATATTTCAGGATATGACGTAATCGGATAAAATTTTAAAATAATCACTCTGTATTTATATTTTTAGATCGTTTCTTTCCGAATCCATCAATATGGGGTTCATGTGGTCTCTGACTTACCCTATTATAAGGAAATAATAAAACAAAAGGTAAACGTTGTTTTTAATAATTAATTAATAATTAATAACTATCCGTACAGTTATCTGTGCTATCATAATGTACCAATTTGAATTGTTTTGCTGTGGTTTCACCTTTCGACATTATAAATATCATATTGACATCTCGATATTAATCAGTCAGTTTTGTTAATACGATTCTGGTACATCTCTAGCAGAAATACCGACCAATGTGCATAAAATATATAGAAAACTTTTTTCAGGTTAATTTTTAGTAGTAATATCTCAAGGACAGTGTTAATTCGAATATTTTTTTTCACTTACCAAAAACACGTTGCTTGGTAACTTCCGACGCCATAGGCCATAGATTACTAATGTGAATAGATGGGAAACTCAATGGTAAAATTATGAGTCGATGTGCTGCCATCTATCAAATTGGAATGGTACTAAAATTCAATATGGCCGCCACGAGCGGGCTTTTTGAAATTTAACTTTGTAGTAGCGCAAAAATGTAATGAAGAAAATCAAATAAAGCAAAAATATTTGACTTGTTTCAAATCATAAAACAATCAGGAGCTGCTACAGGAAATCTTCTACAAGGGGGACCTCCTATGGGAAGGAACCATTCCCTGTGGAAAAAGCCCTGCGAATCCCCACGACATTACCTTTATAACTTTTATATAGTTTATTCTTATTTAAACTAATGTTAAATAATTATTAAATAATCAACCTTGCACATGATTGCGATGCAAAACAAATTGTCGACATACTTAAACAAAATTTTATGTACAGGATGTTATTTAAATAATTAATTAAAATTAGGAAAAATATGAATTTATACGAGTCGTGACAATATCAATTATGTATTACATATCAATGGTAATTTTTACCTATGCCCTGCGTTGTACCAGGCCAACCAATTGACTTCAGTATCAGAAAAATTATATAAAACTAACGATTTAAAAAATACCCATATCAAGATCTTCTTCCTCACCCTCATCGGTAGAGTACTCTTCGACGACCTAACCTAACCTTAACTAACAATATATAAGAAGAAGATGAAGCAACGACTTCTTGTAGGGTGCAAAAAATTTTAACCCATACCTAGCTACGACCGGCATAGACTCCAACGGCCTGGACACAGCTCAAATTGAAAATAAAAAAATTCTTTTTTACAAATATTATATAAGTACCGACATTCCGTAATTAACGCACAATCCATCATGAAATGAAATAAAAAGACGGATTCTGTGATAACTACAAATGTTTTCACTTCGGGATCCAAATTCACCTGCTGGCCAGACACTATGTAATTTTTCAGCCAACTTTCATTAACCGAATTATTTCCTGACTTATATGTTTTCGTACTCGATTTGGCAAAACCGCATTTATAGAAACTAGAAACATCAATTTTCATTGAAAATAATTTACTGTTTATTTGTTTTCCTAACAAACTAAAAATGAAAAATAAGAAAATTTTATCGTCTATGAAAAAATTTGGTATGGTCTATTGCTCTATGAATGGTCGAATATTGATATTTAGCCGTTTATACAACAAGAAATCAGTGAAAATGGTTAATTTTACATTTGTTTTATGATGGAGACCCGACAACAAATTTTAAGGATTGTAAGGTAAAAAAAAATTTTTAGTGTCAGTGGACCCAAAATTGTTATGTATAGTGTGTTTCAAAGTGTCTAGAAACTGTCTATAATATTTCAACAGGTATATCCGCCGTTCGAGTGTCGGCGTATAATAGCCATTCTTTAAATCGGTATCATGTTTTTTTTCTCATATTTAGTGCCCAATCCTTCAGTATTAAAGTTATGTCTTAAATACTTCCATTTGCATCTAAATATTTTCTAATTGTATAAATAGTTTCCATATATATATTTTTTACTTTTAACGGTATTTTTCTACACCCGTATTATAATAATGCACTTATATGCCCATAATCCGTTTCATAATGATACCCATTATGATACAGATTTTTCATTACGATACAGATTTTTAATCAATAGAAACCTACAATTTTTCAATCAAGCATGCTGTTTGACGTTTGTCCTAGGTTCCTATGTAATTATTTTAGTTGTCAAAACGTATTAAATTTTCGTAGGTAGCTAAACTTCGATAATTATAATATTAAAATGTCTGATATTAGCGATATAGAAGACTCCTCCACACATATCGGAGAAAGCAGAAAATACAGTACAAAATATTTTACCGCAAAAATCTAGGGAAATACCAATACCTGAAGTAATACCATTAATTACAATTTTGTAGAATTTTTTATAGAAATACGAGTAATTACTGTTATTGTGTTCAATACCAATATAAATATAATATTTATAGGTCTTGATTATTTATCGGGTGTAGAAAAAATAGCGTATGCAACTCTCATGTAATGGTTATTAAAACACTCGCATAAACCATACAAAACTCGCCTTTGGCTCGTTTCGTATCCCGGTTAATGCTCGTGTATTAATAACCATCATTACATGATCGTTGCATAATATACTATTATTGGTGTGTTATCTTTGATTAAATTATCAATATTTTGATTATTAATTTTACTAAATCGGGACATTTAAAAATAAATAAATTTGAAAGTGTCAAAAGTTGAATTTGTAGAAATGTCATATTATTAAACCTGCTTTACATATGGGGTACACCAGATTAATGTTTGTATTAAATACCGATTGATAATGAAATAAGAAAAACGGTAAAAAGTCATAAATTACTGTTTTTACTGGGAATAAATAATTATTAAAACAGTTATTAGATGAAACGTACAATTTTGAGTTTTATCATTTAGCTGAATAAAAAATAGTCGTAATAGTTCATCCATAATGGTTTGTTTGGTGCAAACTTGACTTAAGTGATAACACCCCTAGGGAACGATTTTAATTGGTTTTTTATTGATGCCAGAAATTTTCAATACAATCCATAATTGAGCCACAAATCCTGCACAACCCTCTATAGAAAAGTAGTTTTGATATAATGTATTTGAGTAAAAACCTATGAATTAAAAAATAGTTACAAGTATATTATAATAAAATTTCTACGTCCTTGTAGATGTATTTTATAACTATTTATTATTAAAAATGTAAAATTGTAATGAAGTCTTGTAAAAGCCCATTTCATAACAACAACAAACAAAACAAACGAAACAAGTTTAAGGCCGGAACACTTTCATACTAAGAATTTATTTCAGTATAATTTTTTTGTGCAAGTACTCTTATCAAATATATTGCGCTGGAATCTAGTGGTCGTTGGTCGTATGCCATCTGTCACACTGCTAAATGCCACTTAAATGTTTTCGTTGCGCAATTGGCGTCATAATATTTTACCTACTTGCATGCAGTTATGGCTGTCCGGGTATAAGATGGGAAAATTAAGCTCACTTTCCTTTTCTGAATCAGAAATTATGTAGTTTGGTGAAATATGCCTTGCAGGAAATGTTTGTAAATACAATTTCGGATTTTCAATTAGAATTCTTTAACTCCGTATCGGGCAACATACTAAAACCATATTATAAAAATATATTACTTTATGTAGGTATTCTTTATTACTTATTTTTTAATGTAGTTTGCATAAAACCGCTAAAATATAGAAAAGTGATTTTTGAAATAGCAACATTGCCCAATTAGGATAAATTTAATATGTAGGTAACTTGAGAGCAACAATGCCTTATAACAAAATGAAAATTTACAATTTAATTCTTTTAAAATAAAATAATAGACAGCCCCCTACTGTTTGTCATGTATCAATTGCTACGTATCTTATCTATATTCTTGAATTACATTATTCATCTTATGCAAACCCACTTCCCGTATATTACTTACCATTCTTTTTAAGATTTTAACTAGTAATATTTCTTAATTATTATAGAACAATGTAAATGGATAGGTAAACGTATTTGCATTTTGCAATAAGCTGACAGACAATACACTATTTGGAATTTCCTGGTATGCAGCAAACCAACGGAACAAAAAGGAAAAAAATTATGGATTAATGGATAGGATATACATATTTTACCAGAATGAAATATGAAATGCTGTAAACAGAAATAGTTTATAATATTGTCAATATATTAATGGTACTTGTTTTTATTTTAATTCAAAAGTCTTAAAGCAAACCGAGCCTTTATTTTTAGTCCGATTTTTGTGAAATGTTCAGGAAATACCAACAATAACAAAACTTAAGAGTGGAGAAATCTTGGTTTTTTTTTTTGTGAATCTTCGAAAAGTATTTATTTCGATAATTTTTAAAAGGAATTAAAAAACATTCTGTATTATATCTATAAAAAATTTGCTGCTTTTTGTTTTAATAAATATCTAGTAGTTTTTAAATGGGATGGTTTTCCATCTTTTTTTTTAATTTCTCTGCCTTATCGATGCAGAAATTTAAAGATCTCAATATTCTCGAGACGCACATAGCATCTGAGGACGCGCTTATAAAAACAATGGTACATTAAAATATCC